AATTTGGTGCCTGGTTTAGGACCTGTCCCTTTGTCCCAGGAGGGAATTTTTGGGGTCACATTTGGGATATTCCTGGTAAATTCTGGCAGGAAATCTGGGAATTCTGAGCTGGTTTTTTTGGGGTCACATTTGGGATATTCTTGGTGGATCCTGACAGGAAATCTGGGAATTCTGAGCTGGTTTTTTTCGGGATCACATTTGGGATATTCCTGGTAGATCCTGGAAGGGGAAATCTGGGAATTCTGAACTGAATTTTTGGGGTCACATTTTGGATATTCCTGATAAATCCTGGAAGGGGGAACTGGAAATGCTGAGCTCTGTGTCCTGAGGAGTTTTAAAGTTCATATTTTGGATATTCCTGGTGGATCCTGGCAGGAAATCTGGGAATTCTGAGCTGGGTTTTTTTGGGGTCACATTTGGGATATTCCTGGTAAATCCTGGTGGATTCTGCAGGAAATCTGGGAATTCTGAACTGGCGTTTTTAGGGTCACATTTGGGATATTCCTGATCAATCCTTGATGGATCCTGGCAGGAGAGCTGGGAATTCTGAGCTGGTGTTTTTGGGGTCAGATTTGGGATATTCCTGGTCAATCCCAGCAGGAATTGTGGGAATTCTGAGCTGGCATTTTCAGGCTCACATTTGGGATATTCCTGACAAATCCTGGCAGGAATTCTGGGAATTCTGAGCTGTTTATTTTTTCGGGGTGACATTTGGGGTATTCCCTGGCCAATCCCAGCAGGAATTGTGGGAATTCTGAGCTAGCATTTTGGGGTCACATTTGGGATATCCCTGGTAGATCCTGGCAGGAAATCTGGGATTTCTGAGTTGGTGTTTTTGGGATCATATTTGGGATATCCCTGGTCAATCCCAGCAGGAAATGTGGGAATGCTGAGCTGGTGTTTTTGGGGTTAGATTTGGGATATTCCTGGTAAATTTTGGTGATCAGAGCTGTGAATTCTGAGCTGGTTTTTTCGGGGTGACATTTGGGATATCCCTGAGGAGTTTTTGGGGTCACATTTGGGATATTCCTGGCAAATCCCGGCAGGAATTGTGAGAATTCTGAGCTGGCATTTTTGGGGTCACATTTGGGATATTCCTGGTAAATCCTGGCAGGAAATGTGGGAATTCTGAGCCGTGTTTTTTTTCGGGATCACATTTGAGATGTTCTTGGTAGATCCCGGCAGGGAATCTGGGAATTCTGAGCTGACATTTTTGGGGTCCCATTTGAGATATCCCTGGCAAATCCCAGCAGGAAATCTGGGAATTCTGAGCTGGATTTTTCAGGATCACATTTGAGATATTCCTGGTAAATCCTGGCAGGAATTGTGGGAATTCTGAGCTGTTTATTTTTTCGGGGTGACATTTGGGATATCCCTGAGGAGTTTTTGGGGTGACATTTGGGGTATTCCCTGGCCAATCCCAGCAGGAATTGTGGGAATTCTGAGCTGGCATTTTGGGGTCACATTTGGGATATCCCTGGTAGATCCTGGCAGGAAATCTGGGATTTCTGAGTTGCTGTTTTTGGGATCATATTTGGGATATTCCTGACAAATCCCAGCAGGAATTGTGGGAATGCTGAGCTGGCGTTTTCAGGCTCACATTTGGGATATCCCTAAGGAGTTTTTGGGGTGACATTTGGGATATTCCTGGCAAATCCCGGCAGGAATTGTGGGAATTCTGAGCTGTTTATTTTTTCGGGGTGACATTTGGGGTATTCCCTGGCCAATCCCGGCAGGAATTTCGGGATCTGTGACCCCCCGTGTGTGTCCCTGCAGCTCGGTGTACGACGGGGAGGAGCACGGGCGCTTCATGGAGAAATTGGAGGCGCGGATCCGCAACCACGACCGCGAAATCGAGAAATTGTGCAACTTCCACTACCAGGGCTTCGTGGACTCCATCACCGAGCTGCTCAAGGTCAGGGCCGAGGCCCAGAAGCTCAAGGTGAGCCCAAATTGTGCCCTCAGAACCTCGGTTTATTTATTTTTAAATTTTTTTTTTTTTTTTTTTTTTTGTTTGTTTCTGTTTTTGTAATTTCTTTTTTCTGTTTTTTTTTATTTTTGTTCCTACTTTTTCTATTTTTCTGTTTTTTTCACAATATTTTTCTGTTTTTTTCACTATTTTTTCTTTTTTTCCCTATTTTTTCAATTTATCTTAATTTTTTCCTATTTTTTTCTATTTTTCTGATTTTTTCTGTTTTCCTGATTTTTTTCTGTTTTTCTCTTTTTTCTATTTTTCATTTTTTCCTATTTTTCTAATTTTTTTCTATTTTTCGTTTTTTTTCTATTTTTCTATTTTTTTTCTATTTTTCTAATTTATTTCTATTTTTTCTATTTTTCTAATTTATTTCTATTTTTTCTATTTTTCCTATTTTTTCTATTTATCTTAATTTTTTCCTATTTTTTCTATTTTTCTATTTTCCATTTTTTCCTATTTTTCTCATTTTTTCTATTTTTAGTTTTTTTTTCTATTTTTCTATTTTTTCTATTTTTTTCTATTTTTCTATTTTTTTTCTATTTTTCTATTTTTTTCCTTTTTTTCCAATTTTTTCTATTTTTCATTTCCCTTTCCCTTTCCCTTTCCCAACCTTTTGCTGTTCCGAAGTGATGCCAAATTCACAAGATTTTTTTATTTTTATTGTGGGTTTCAGCCTGGTTTATTTAATTTGTTTGTTCCCTCCCCTGCTCCCTCTTCTCCTCTCTCCCAACATTTTTTTTTTTCCCCTCTGGGATGATCCCAAGGATTCTCTGAGCCCCCCTGCTCTGGGGGAGGTGTGGATTTAGGAACAGCTCAACCATCCCACAAATCCCTGCAGTTCTCCCTCCCCTGCCACCTGTGTGCCCCTCTGGAATTCTGGCCTGGCTTAGCAAAGCCCAGCTTAAACTACCCAAGGTCTGTGTAAATAATCCTCCAGACTGCAGGGACAATCCCAAACACGACCCCAACTGTCCCCCACAATCCCAGAGCCTGCAGGGATCCTCACTTTTCCCTGGAGCTGGGATTAATGTGGAATTTTAGCACCAGAACCCCTCCAGCCCCAGCTTTGTTTTAGGAGCGGTTTTAAATTCCCCGACGCGGATTTCCCTTTTTTTATTTTATTTTTTTTTTTTTTTCCCTGGTGGGATTTTTTTTGGGGATCTGAACAAAAATGAAATAATCTTTGGAAGAGCTGCTGGGCTGGTTCAAGGCTGCACAGATCCTAAAGGAAAGGAGCAGGTTCTGGGGAGGGCAGGGAGCCAGGAGGGCTGCAGCCACGGGGAGGGAGGAAATGAAGATGCTGCAGGGGAAATCTGGAGAAATCGTGGGGAAATCGTGGGGGAATCTTGGAGAAATAGTGGAGAAATTTTGGAGGAATCATGGAGAAATCTTGGGGGTATTTTGGAGAAGTCATGGAGAAATCTTGGAGAATTCTTGGGAGAAATCTCTTGGGGAAATCTTGGAGAAATCTTTTGGAGAAATCTTGGAGAAATTGTGGAGAAATCTCTTGGGGAAATCTTGGAGAAGTCTTGGGAGAAATCTCTTGGAGAGATCTTGGGAGAAATCTTGGGAGAAATCTCTTGGGGAAATCTTGGAGAAGTCTCTTGGGGAAATCTTGGAAGAAATCTCTGGAAGAAATCTCTGGGAGAAATCTTGGAAGAAATCTTGGAAGAAATCTTTTGGAGAAATCTTGGAAGAAATCTTGGAAGAAATCTTGGAAGAAATCTTGG